ACTAAGGATGACTGCCACGGCCTGATGAAGAATAAGGAGTTTTGTCTGGGGTTTTTCACTCTTTAAATGAAGCTGACACATTCGACCAAGCTCTTTGAATGCCTCATTAATATCCCGCACACGCAAGCGTTCTCTGGCATTGTTGGCCATCCGCCTTTCCTTCTCCCTTTCTATCTTCTGTTCTGGGTTCAAATCCTCATCTTCATTAGTACTGCTGGAAGGCAAAGTAACAACAATGTCTATTAGGTTTGCTGTAAAGTAAGATATGCTTATTGTACAAAATTAAAAATTATAAAAATAAAAATGACCTATGAATTTTACCAAATGGTAGTAATAGCCACACTTAACATTATTGTATATTTCTTTCCAGTCCTTCCTCAATGCAAATATATATAGTTGAAATTATACCATATACATTTAAAAAAAAATAAATTTATTTATTTATTTTCGGCTGCGTTGGGTCTTCATTGCTGCGCGAGGGCTTTCTCTAGTTGTGGCAAGTGGGGGCTACTCTTCGTTGCAGTGTGCGGGCTTCTCATTGTCGTGGCTTCTCTTGTTGTGGAGCATGGGCTCTAGGTGTGTGGGCTTCAGGAGTTGTGGCACACGGGCTCAGCAGTTGTGGCTCGTGGGCTCTAGAGTGCAGGCTCAGTAGTTGTGGCACACGGGCTTAGCTGCTCTGCTGCATGTGGGATCTTCCTGGACCAGGGCTCGAACCCATGTCCCCTGCATTGGCAGGTGGATTCTTAACCACTGCGCCACCAGGGAAGTCCCCCACATACATTTCTAAATGCATTTTCATTGCACATTACAGCATAAAGACTTCTCCACACTACTAGTGAAACTCTTCATAAACATAATTTGAATGACCACATATTATAGCACCCTGCTCTTCTAGATGTGATCAGCAGCATCAGCATTGCTGCTTAAAAACTTTACTTTTTACATTATTGTAAAAACAGTGTTACATTACCGTTAGAAACAGAATCTCAGGTTCTGCTACAAACCTACTGAATCAGAAGCTGCATTTTAACAAGATTCATATGTACATTAAGCTTTGAGAAACATATGTACTATTATAGTAATGTATTACAGTTTGCTTATGTTCTTAAATATATTCTGGCAGTCCCCTGGTGAGGAGGAGGAAGAAAAGCTTAAGATGTGGAATGAGAGAAGTATCTCAGAAAATGACTATACTTTTTGTTCTGGAAGAAATATCATCAGTGGTGATGATTTTAAAACATGGGTGAACTAGAACAACTTTTTTGAAGGACAAATTGGCAAAATGAATCCAAAGCCTTAAAATGTTCATTATCTCTTGATCAGCAATTCCAACTTTAGAAATTCATTCAAAGGATATAATTAGAGATGTTCATAGAAATTTAGGTAAAGAAGCTGATCACAGAATTATTTACTTCAGAACAAATGGGAGTCCAATATTAGGAGATGGGTTAAATAAATCACAGTACATCCAGATAATGGTCTACTATGTACCCTCTAAAAATCAAGCTGTAGATTATGCTAGGTAAAAGATGCCAAACACAAAAGACTACATATTGTATGATTCCATTTACAGGAACTTCTAGAAAAGACAAAAGTATGGTAACAGAAAGCAGATCAACGTTTGCCAGAAGATGGGAGAAGAGGACTGGTTATAAAATTGGCATGAGGAAACTTTTTAGGGTGGCAGAAATATTCTATATTATTAATGTATATAACTGTATACATGTTTCAAAGGACCAAAACTGTATACTTAATATTGGTGTATTTTATTATATTTGAATTAAACCTCAATAAAGCTGCCTAAAAACAGAAACAACCAGAAAAAAACATGTTGGAGAAAACACAGATAGATGAAAAGGTTAAAAATACACTGTTAAGTTAAAGTTGAAATTATAAAACTTTTATCCAGTTTATCTCCCATTTAAACTGTATTTATGGAAAAAGATATTCCTTGAAAAGTAAACTGTAGTTAATTCTGGGTAGCGGAGTTTCTTGTGATTTTTGTGTGTGCTTTTCTGTAATTTTCAAATTTCTGTAATGAAAACAGACTAATTAATCAGAAAAGAATATTTGAGAAAAATGCTTTGGAATAACTTCTAGAAAATTCTATTTATATTTCAGAAATAAATTACTGAGCAGGGGCTCTTAGAACCTGGAAAAAAATGTGCACAAAGAATTGGTGCTTCATCTCTAATACCCTGAGTACTCTAATAAAGAACAAGTAGAGGGGGCTTCCCTGGTGGCGCAGTGGTTGAGAGTCCGCCTGCCGATGCAGGGGACATGGGTTCGTGCCCCGGTCCGGGAAGATCCCACATGTCGCGGAGCGGCTAGGCCCGTGAGCCATGGCCGCTGAGCCTGCGCTTCCGGAGCCTGCGCTTCCGGAGCCTGTGCTCCACACCAGGAGAGGCCACAACAGTGAGAGGCCCGCGCACCGCAAAACATACAAACAAAGAAAAACAAAAACAAAAACAAAAACAAGTAGAGGGACTTCCCTGTCCAGTGGTAAAGAATCCGCCTTACAATGCAAGGGATGCGGGTTCGATCCCTGGTCAGGGAACTAAGATTCCCACATGCCACAGGGCAACTAAGCCCGCACGCCACAACTACAGAGCCCACATGCCCTGAAGCCTGTGCTCACCACAACTAGAGAGAGAAAACCTGCACACCACGAGTAGAGAGATGCCCGTGCGCCACAACAAAATATCCCGCATGCCACAACTAAGACGGGATGCAGCCCAAAATAAATAAAATAAATAAATAATAAATCTTAAAATAAAACAAGTGGACAACAGATTTTTACTAGCCAATTGTCAAAAATTTCACAAAAGTATTCTTTTGATAATAGAGAATCACTAGCTCTTTGACTTCAAAGAAACCTTTACAGATCATCTAGCCCAAAGGTTTCCAAAGGTGGCCACTCACTAGAATCTTCAGGAGCACTTATAAAATATAGCTTTCAAAGGTCCCACTGCCAGAGATGCTGATACAGTGAGCTCGGGTTCAGGGGTCAGGCATCTGTATTTCTAAAATGTTTCAAGAGTCTGTGCTGCAGGGTTGAGAACCACTGTAAGATCAGTGATCTCCCTAGGATTACAAGGCTAATGAGTGGCAGGGTGACAAGAATCCAGGTTAGTGCTTCATGGAAGAAATCAAGAGCACATATCTAAAATTATTATCATCATAAGTTACCACAGTACCTTTACTGATGTTTACTGCATGTGAGACCGTGTGAAAAGGGCTTTATATGCATAATTTTCAGTTTATTCCCACAAGAATCCTAAACAGAAAATCTTCTGCTAAGATAGAACCAAACCTCAGAGAGCTTAATAACTTGCCAAGGTTACTTGGCAAAATGTGATGAAGCCATGATTCAAACCAAGGTTAGCCTTATTTTGTCCAAAGGCTGTGTTTTAAATTTATTATTATTAACTACTAAGTATTGTTATTATTAACCCATTATACTGCCTTCTCAATTTCTGATGACCTATAACAGTGCTCAGCAAACTGGCCCATAAGCCAGCTACCTGTTTTTGTAAATAAAATTTTATTGGAAGAGCCACACCCACCTGCTTATGTACTGTCTTTGGCTGCTTTCATGATACAATGGCAATGTTCAACAGTTGCAACAGAGACTGTATGACCCACAAAGACTGAAATATTTACTATCTGGCCCTTTACACACAAAGTTTGCTGACCTATATAATGAAAGGATGAATGATGAGGAGAGATGCAAATTATTTCCCTTAAAGTTCTATTTGAATAATGAAACTATGAAAGAATTAAGATTCCTCAAAGGAGTGGACTCTGGATTCCCTGACTCAATTTTTATTTCTTCATGCCCATGCACAACTGAGTACAATGCATATTAAAATGACAATATTAGGACCTTAAGATTTAATTTTCCTCAAGAGAAATGTCAACTACTGAAAATAGTGAGAATGTCAAATGCAAAAGGACAACTTTTAAGTATGGGACTGACAGAAAGGACTATCCTGGTTCTTTTAGTTGGTAATTTCCTTTGTACCATAATTTAATACAAAGAACAATGTTTTAAATATAAATATCTATATGTGATATACATACTACTGATAAATGGATATATACCAAGAAATAGGATGTACCACGAATATATCAAATTACCTACTTTTAATGTAGAACTAGAAGAAAAATCTGATGGAAGAATCTGGAAATAATTTGAAACTAATGTATTATGTGTCAATATCCATATTTCAAAGCAAAGTCAAGTCCAGTTTCTAGAAAACCTTCCCCGACAACATCAACGCATGTGGAGTACTTCCTTTTCCATACTCTTTTCAAAGTATTGTTTAAAACGTAAGTTGCAAATATCTTCTATAAAGAGCCAGAAAGTAAATATTTTCGGCTTTGTGGGTCATCCGACCTATGTTGCAACTACACAAATCTGCCACTGCACTGTGACAGCAGCCACAGACAATATGTGTAGTGGTGTTCCAATAAAACTTTATTTATAAAAACAGGCAATGAACTAGATTTGGCCCATGGGCCATAGTCTGCCAGCCCCTGGTTTAAATCATACAAGAGTCTTACCATATACTTAGCCTTAAAATAATGTATTTGAATATTTACTGATGGGTTATATCTAAATACCTATACTTGTACAATTTAACTTGTTTTAGCTATTTTGTGCTCTAGCTGTCTTACAGACTATAAGCATTGACGGGAGAGAAGTAATTCTTTTTTATACGTAGACCCTAAAATATTGTGGGAAACATGGAAAACATAAACTTAGAGTCAGCTTCATAGGCCTCCCTTTTATGGATGCTATGAGGATTAAATGAGATAACACATAAAAGTCCCAACACAGTAATTAGAACACAGCTGACACTTAAATGCATGATACACTTCAATTTTCCAAGTATCTTCACCCATGGCAAATGAGTGAAATTTAATACCTGGATGCTAACAAATACCTTGTTCTGCCTCTAGATGAAACTTTGATATCTTTTTGGGAGGATTCATCATCTGATTTCATGTCATCTGATGAAGGAGGTTCATGAAGGTTTTCATCTTTCTCTTTGTTTTCAGTCTTGATTTCTGTTGGAACAACAGTTCCAGACTGACTTTGCAAGCCACCTAACAAAGAGGCAAAGAAACAGAATAAATATCCAGACTCATTTATGAATTAGAATTAAGACAGTAAAAAGATTTCTTGATGGTAAATATCCTTAGCTGTTATAGAGCTACTATAGAAATCTGAAGATGTAAAAAAGTAAACTATTCAGAGCTGGAAAGAGCACGTCCACAAACCTTAGAAAAAATTGCTTTTTAAAGCACCTGTATTTAAAAAAAAACAAGCCTGACCCTGATGGTGAGTCCAATGCTCATTTTCAGGCACATTTAACAATCAAACAAGGTAGGAGAAACATAATGCATTTTAAAAACTTCTAAGATGCTGTCAAGTTAAACGAAATAAGCTTTAACATTTTCCTGGACAAACACAATAAAACAGCCATCATGGTTAAATACAACAGGGAAAACTTTATCTTGGTGGTCTTAATACCACCTATATATTTGTACTTATTTATAAGGTCTGTTATAACACTGACAACAATTTGCTTTTTGTAAGAATTGTCTGTCTCTCCAATTAAATTATAATCTTCTAAACAACAGCTACTATCACTCAGAGTTCTAAACATACTCAGAAATGTCTTTCTCAATTCCTCTAGGGACAATGAAGACTCAGCCATGAGGGGAAGTGATTTAGAAAGAGACAGGACAGGGACTTCCCTGGCAGTCCAGTGGTTAAGGCTCTGCACTTCCACTGAAGGGGGTGTGGGTTCAATCCCTGGTCAGGGAACTAAGATCCCACATGCCACACGGTGCAGCCAAAAAAGAAAAAAAAAAAAGGAAGAGGACAGATGCAGGAGCTGGTAAGAAGATGACCAGTAAACACTGAACAACGGTTTGCACAGGGTTCCATCCATCAATAAATATCTGTAATTGGCCCAGCGAAATGGAACATTTGGAACCCTAAATATCGACCCTGTACATTCACACAGTAGTACTACTACTATTTGGAATTCTACCACCTAAGATGATGTTTTTTTTTCTTTTTTGCTGTACGCGGGCCTCTCACTGTTGCGGCCTCTCCCGCCGCGGGGCACAGGCTCCGGACACGCAGGCCCAGCCGCTCTGCGGCACCTGGGATCCTCCCGGACCAGGGCACAAACCCGCGTCCCCCGCGTCGGCAGGCGGACCCCCAACCACTGCACTACGAGGGAAACCCCTAAGATGACTTTTGATTCACAGATGTCAATCTGACTGTGAAGAAGGTGACAGTGCTCCAAAATAATACCTCTGTATGCACTACTGCTGTAATAGTAATTATAGTTACCTCTATAATTTTCTTGTGTTTTATGGTTCAAGTCTGTGCTTGAAGCAGTGACCGTACTAGACAGGACTGAATGATTGCCATTGAGACTGACAGAGTCTTCTCGATGAGTTCCGACCTAAAGTTAAAAAAAAAAAAAAAAAAGTTCATGGTGCAGTAATTGTTCAAATTCTTTCACTGGGTTTAATAGAGAAAACAGCTATCACTCATCTAAATTTAGCAACATTTTTTGGACGCCACTTTTCTGGTTTTTGGATTGTAAAAGACTCGACAGTAGTACTGTTTCTGAATTAAAAATATTTTAAACAATTCCAGCTTTCAAATTTTATATCCCAGAGGGTTGCTGTGAGAAGCAAATGAGCTAATAGACAAAAAGCACTCTATAATCCATACAGCACTACATATTATAGCCTCTATTGTGTATCAATCAATCTGAAAACCTATTCCATATACTACCTAAAAATGTTAAAGTATCCATGAATTTGCATTTAGCAAAATACTGCTTTGTTCCAAGTAATATTATTTATCTACACTTTGTCTTGTTTTTTCTTCCTCTAATTGCTTCTCCTCAAAAATTTTAGAAGAGCAGCAAGAGCAATACAAAATTAAAATAAAATAAAAGTTCTACATTGCCAGGCAACAAAAATGCCATATATTTTTATTCTCAGTTTTAATCAGATTTAGACAAGTCACAGTTAACCTGAACTGAGAAGGCATGCAAACACTACCAAGTGTTTTTAGCTACTGCAGTATTTTTAGAAAAACTGGTTACAAATGAACCAGTTTTTTTTTTTATTAGAACAACAGCAGATGTGGCAATTAGAAGATTAATCCTTTAATTAAATAGGTTTATTGCCTGGAGTTATACATGAGAACCACTGTTTTTCAACAAATCCTTCAATCCCAGTAAAATGCCATACTTTGAATCCCTCTTGAGTAATTAATATAGCTTTTATCTTTCATGACTTTGTATGGATTTTACCCTAAGAGGTATAAATACCCCTATACAAGTTTATCCTTTGGTTTCCTGTGAGCCAAACAAAAGAAACAAAAGCAAAGTTTCAGGCAATGCAGGCCTGAAACTTTGCAGGTAGTGGATCTCATTAGAACATACCAGGTCTTCCACCCAACTTTTTAAGAAATGTCTGTCCTCTACCTTTATTCTTATCTTTAATGTAGTTTTGAAAAACCCATTCAATGTATTCCATAGCTACTTTTTAAATTATTTGAGGATTAGTCATTGCTGAGAATTAGCTGTGTCACTACTCCCTTGGATGATCAAGCATTGACCATACCCTTTTTCTAAACCACATAATTTCATCATGCATTAGAATCATAAAATCTTAAAGCTGGGAAGGGACAACAGAAATCAAGACAGCCTTCTATTCCATTACCACTTTGGAAATTTTCCCTTAGACCCTTAACCTTTACTTCTGCCCTGAACCGCAACCCGCCCCCAGTAAAAAGTCTTGAGAAAAATCTGAAGAACTAAATCTAACACCAAGTGAAGAAGTGGACTATGAAAATTACATTCGAGAGAGGAAATTATTATTTATTTTATTTTTTTGCGGTACGCGGGCCTCTCACTGTTATGGCCTCTCCCGTTGCGGAGCACAGGCTCCGGACATGCAGGCTCAGCAGCCATGGCTCACGGGCCCAGCCGTTCTGCAGCATGTGGGATCTTCCCAGACCGGGGCACGAACCTGTGTCCCCTGCATCGGCAGATGGACTCTCAACCACTGTGCCACCAGGGAAGCCCGAGAGAGGAAATTATTTTTAAAATAGTTTATGATATCCTATCTCTAGGGAATCCTGGTCATGTTTATTCATAACACATAGGGTGCTTTCTTGCTAGCTATGAACTACTCAATGATCTAATGATCTGAGAGGAAGGTCAGTTCAAAAATTGCATTTTATAAAAATAGAGAGGGTAAAATACAACAAATAGTTACAAATTCTTTGGGACCTTAGGAGTCTAGGCCTATTTTAAAGATAATATATTACTAGAATAATTTTGACTGGCTGAGGAAATCACTGCAGGATAAAGTAAAAGCTAAGAGGTTTTTTTTTTTTTTTTAAGAAGATGTTGGGGGTAGGAGTTTATTAATTAATTTATTTTTGCTGTGTTGGGTCTTCGTTTCTGTGCAAGGGCTTTCTCTAGTTGTGGCAAGTGGGGGCCACTCTTCATCGCGGTGTGCAGGCCTCTCACTATCGCGGCCTCTCTTTTTGCGGAGCACAGGCTCCAGACACGCAGGCTCAGTAGTTGTGGCTCACGGGCCTAGCTGCTCTGCGGCATGTGGGATCCTCCCAGACCAGGGCTCGAACCCGTGTCCCCTGCATTAGCACACAGATTCTCAACCACTGTGCCACCAGGGAAGCCCCAAAGCTAAGATTTTTATGTCTGTGTTTATAATGTGGACTTAAAACTTCCCACGATGTTTGGTAATATATGCCAATTTTGCTCTTATCTAGTATTTTGAGCTATCACACCAAGTAAATGAAAAATAAATAGGCTTTTAAAATTTAAACTTTTTTTAAAAAAAAAATTTTATTTATTTATTTATTGGCTGCGTTGGGTCTTCGTTGCTGTGTGCGGGCTTTCTCTAGTTGGGGTGAGCGGGGGCTACTCTTTGTTGCAGTGCGCGGGCTTCTCATTGTCGTGGCTTCTCTTGCTGTGGAGCACGGGCTCTAGGGACGTAGGCTTCAGTAGCTGTGGCACGTGGGCTCAGTAATTGTGGATTGCAGGCTCTAGAGCGCAGGCTCAGTAGTTGTGGCACACGGGCTTAGTTGCTCCGTGGCATGTGGGATCCTCCTGGGCCAGGGCTCGAACCTGTGTCGCCTGCATTGGCAGGCAGGCTCTTAACCACTGCACCACCAGGGAAGCCCTAAAATTTAAACTTTTAAACATACGTTTATTTACTATATATTGTACCTGTGAAACCCATTTTATAGCTCTGTCAGATAATACCGTTGAACATTCAGTAACAAACTGAATTTCACTCATTTGATTGATAAGTGATAATGCATCTGTGAAATTCTTATTCTTTTATTTCATGAGTATAAATAATTCTTTGATTTTTCTGAATCTCAACTAATAAAAATGTTCTATCACCTCTTTTCTGATGAAAGGATTGGCAGACAAAGGATCATTATCTAAACAATAGATCTTAAGGATTTTGCTTTTCCCTGAAGGAAAATCAGAAATGTTGCTCAATTTGTTTTGCGACATAAAATGTCAGTGAATATCTTTGTCTTTATAAATACTACAAACTAAGTATTTTCTCACACCAACCTTGAACAAAATTAAGCCTTTTAAAAATGGCATCAGGCTAGCAAAAAGTTTCAAGTCTGGAGTTTTTCATGTTAATGAAGTTAGCAGGAACTTTTTCTTTGTAACTTGATTCTCCTTGCAAATGGCCCTCATATATTTTCTGGAGAATTTGACATTCACAGTTCTTATAGTTTTCTTTAACCCTTGCTCATCCTGGCTCCCATGTCCTTCCTTTAATCTGAAGCTACCCATTCAAATGGCTCTGTCCACACAAGTAACAGGTGTATAAATAGTTCTTTGTCTGAGCTCAGAGCCTGTGAGGCCAGCCAGATAGGACCTTGTTTAATTGTTCATCTCGTTAGCATACAGCTGACAGAATGCTTCTATTGGGGGACTAGCAGGGGAAGGAAAACCCCTAGGCCTGCTATGCTCTAAATTTCAGTTATGAAGAGCTCCATTTCAGAATAAAAGGCCCATTCCATTAAATGACATCATCTTGCATTCTGAATCTTTACAATCTACCTATGGCCTTATTTTTGTGGGAGCATCCAACAAGGGACTTGTTTTCATTTAATTTGGCCAATGGCTTCAACATCCACAATGGAAAAATGTTAAATCTAATTAGTTGATGAATAAGAGGTGTTGTCAATTAAGGGACAGACTGAAAACTACTCAGTATGAACTCCTCGCTGATTTTGAATTCTATTCTAATAGTTTGTTCAATTTGTACTATTCACTGAGTACTAATGATTTAAATTAATCACTATTAATCTACAGACTGAATAAAGGATCTTTATGTACTGTAAATATTTTGTTTTACCCAAAGAGGGTTTTATGCTAAAACTTGGAAGAATTCCAGTTGTTATGATTCCTTTTGAATAATATTTCCATAAATATATAATCTGTATGGATGTCCGGCTTAAAATACTTGACATTTAAACAATTTTGAGTTAAAAAAATTGTATCAAAACCCTTTAAAAGCACTATAATGTGGTCTTAAAATTTTAAAAAATTTAAGTTGCCTATTTGAGAAAAAAATTGGTTAGAAAAAGTAAAATACAGTTAAAAAATAAACTCCTTCAGTTTAGCTGAAACCTACACATACCATTCCTACTGTATACAAACCTATACTAACAAAATTAGTGTCTAAATATAAGGTTAAAATGATTCCAAATTTACTCTGATAAAGTGACAAAAAGTGCTAAAATTTTGAATAAAATATTACTCTATTTGCCTGTTAGTCTTTAATAACTGAATCTTAAATCTTTTAGAACTAGGAAAAATATAGTTTCTCTAACTGCTTTAGGATTTAGAAAACAGACATGATTTATATTTTAAATCATTATATAAGGTCGCTTTAAGTTCTACAATTGAACATTATTTGCTCTCATACAAGACACACATCTCCAACCATAGCTTAAACAACAAAAAACCCAAGCAATCCCCTGCTCCCCTCACCCCTCGCAAAAGACATGCCTGAGTTAAATTTCCTCAGGACTTGTAACAAAGAAATCAAAAGACCTCCTGGATGTAATTTTACCCTGTATCATAAATGAGACACTTTTTAAGATTTGCATCAGCCTTCCATTAACACAAAAGCTTCTAATCTAACTTAGTTTGAAGTTGAAATCACTGTCTGAACAATAACTGAGCACTTTGTATTAAAGATAAAAGTGCTATTACAGAGCTATCTCATCAGCCCTCGGTATTTTAGATATTACAGCCATAAACTGATGTGATGTACAATAACTTTATATTGCTGAAACCTCTTTGTAATGCCTAAATGAAATTAATGAGTCTCATTCCTTCTCAGTTTTCCACTTAATAACATTATTTTTTTGCTGTCAGCAGTTTATTCCGAGTTTATTCTTACATTAAATAAATGGGAGCAAAACTATAGTCCGTCCAATGCTGACATTTCAATAGTTCTAAAAATCCTGATTTTGTGTTTTAAAATTTAAATGATACATCAATCACATCCTAATAATAGTGTCTGATAAAGCCTTAAGTTTTAATTTGCATTAAGAAAATATGGAGAAACTATCCAAAATATTGAAAGGGAGTAGGAAATTAAGTAAATGAAAATGTTAACCCTATTCAAAAGTAAGAGCAAATGTTAAAACTAGGGCAGGCTGGCTACACTAATTATATGAGAAGGAGTAGTAATTACCCACTTCCTAGTCTCTTCTTCTGATATAATAATCTTCAGGAAATTTAATTTTTTTTTTTTTTTTTTTTGCGGTACATGGGTCTCTCACTGTTGTGGCCTCTCCCGTTGCGGAGCACAGGCTCCGGACACGCAGGCTCAGTGACCATGGCTCATGAGCCTAGCCGCTCTACGGCATGGGGGATCCTCCCGGACCAAGGCACAAACCCGTGTCCCCTGCATCGGCAGGCGGACTCTCAACCACTGTGCCACCAGGGAAGCCCAGGAAATTTAATTTTTGTGTATATTAGATAGCTAAAATATGTTAAAAGCTTTCTGTGGTTGAAACCTCATTTAATCCTAACCTTTGATGCTAGTCAAGTTTGTTCAGTTAAAGGAAACAATAGTCAAAGTTAAGTCTTTTGATATTGACTCCTATTAATATTTTTGGCAGGTGGTAGTCTTATTACCTTTGTGTGAAATATAAAAATTGTTTTCTGGAATAACGAAAAAATAGTAATTATTTCATCTATAAGAAGATGGATCTACAAATCAGTAGATCAGCTGTAGATGATCTTACTGGCATAATCTTGTTAAAAATGAAAATAATGTAGAGAAATGTTTTCAGCAACAAAGCTATTTCCTTGATCAAGGAGACTATTTTGGTTAACCTGCCCATGTAGACTTCACACCACAAGTTACCTTGATAGCACTGAAGGCTGAGAGCAGAGCTCTCTGTATTACTTTTATCCTGCCATCAACTCTTATTCTTCTACTCCCAGTGCATTCTGGCTCACCTCAAATATTCCAACTACTTCAACAGAACTCCCCAACTACTCATTAAAACAAAATAAGCAAAAAGTTATAGGCTCCAAGAAAAGAAAAAACCCCCAAAACAAAAAAAACCCCAAAAAACAAAACTTGCTAACTCTCATTTCCTGCACTGGGAAGCTAATTTTGTTCTAAATCAGGGATTGGCAAAGTATGCCTGTGAGCCAAATCTGGTCCTGTTATTTATTTATTTTGTTTTACTAGTAAAGGAGGCTCTTTTTTATAAATAAAGTTTTATTAAAACACAGCCACAGCGATTTGTTTTCATAACAGCTATGGCTGCTTTCATGTTACCAAATCAGAGTTAAGTAGTTGTGCCAGAGACCATATAGCCTGCAAAGCTGAAAATATTTACTGTCTGGTCTTTTACAAAAAAAAGTATGCTGACTCTTCTCCTTTAAATGCTAGGAGAGAAAGTAACATCATATTTAAAACTTGGAATTAGGATGGTGACCTCTAGTAAATGCCCACAAAAATCCATTACATCAAAAATTTTATTTGAATGTTCTGTGGAGTTCCTGGAATGGTATTTATGTTTAGTAGACCAGTTTTACTCTCTGAAGAAAAATAAATGAAATGATGAAAATTAAATATTTTTGAGAGGAAACTGACCTTACAAATTCTAAATGGCGATATAGAATTGCTGATAAACTGATATTTCTGTGGTTACTTTGTAATAATGGCCATGTAACCTCCATTTTTAGGGGCCTAAAAAATACTAATTTATGTTCATGCAGAGGAAAAGTATATAAACTACCAGAAAGTTAAACAAGACAAAAAAAGAAAAGTGATTCCAGAATGTAAAATTGTGTTATTTCTTAGTCATGACCAGTTAGAAAACATGGGGGTGAGATAATAAAAGCAGATTAACTCTTAAAGATGGCTGGCAATAGTTACAAGATGTCCCCCAAATCACACACCCTCCCAGAATATGAAAAGAGTTGATTCCACATAAGTAGGTACAAAGCATGTAAGCAAGGCTCCCGGCAGTACTGATGCAAGCCCTCAGACATGAATAACAGCCACCAGGATAAGAGTTTTCCTCAACAATATGCCTAAGACTTAGCTGGGACAGTCACTGGCTGACTGTGATCTTCATTTCATTCCATGCTTTGGTCTTTCTGCTGAAACTGAGAACTGAGTACTCACAGCTAAGAAGTTCATTTCAGAAGGATGGGAGCTGAATACTAACTCACCTGACATTGTTAGATTTTGTCAGTTAATAACTTTTGAGGGTAAGCCTGGCAGAAACATCTGCATCTCCACCTCCATTAGTGATTGGGGAAGGGGTGGATAGAGTAGATGACGTCTGGCAGACTTTTCTCAGCTGTGTCCTCTAAGAAGGTTATAAAAACTGAAGGAAGACCTTGATAGAAAAACTCTGCAATAGCCTGGGCTTAGTTGCTGCAGCACTGATGCTGCTTCTCAGACTAAGCCAGACTCACCTCATGTTTCAGAACTCTCTTTTTCTAGATTACCTTGAATTTTTTTCCTTTTTTTTCTTTGCAGTACGCGGGCCTCTCACTGCTGTGGCCTCTCCTGCCGCGGAGCACAGGCTCCGGACGCGCAGGCCCAGCGGCCATGGCTCACGGGCCCAGCCGCTCCGCGGCATGTGGGATCCTCCCAGACCAGGGCACGAACCCGCGTCCCCTGCATCGGCAGGCGAACTCTCAACCACTGCGCCACCAGGGAAGCCCTTTTCCTTTTTAAAGAATATCTCTGGCAGCTCTGAAGTAGGTAGCATATTCCTAGTGAATATAATGGAAGCTACTTTCTTAACTAAAAGCTTCAGGGCAGTATCTAATATTAGAAACAATTTTTCCCTCAACAAGTTCTTTTAAAATGCACTAGGTTTTTACATGGCTTTGGAGGACTGGATTTTGAAAAATCTCTTTTCCAACTTATATCCAAAGTTGGTAAAAACAACCTCCCAAAGATAGAAGTTCCAAAGATATAAATTCCTCCCAAAGATATAAATTCTATACTTATGTGGGAGGAGCCAGAGATATATATTGTAGCAGATAAACTGGAAAAAGGAGCAGTGGGCTATTAACAATGAAGAATTAAAAAAACGATTAAGAGGTGAGGACTAAGAATTGCAAATACTGCAGGCTGAGACAAGCTTAGGATTCAAACATACTGATTTTCAAGTCATTCTTCTAAATAAGGATAAACAGTATTTCAGCAAAGTAATAATTTATACTTGCAACAAATGCTATCTTATTATTCTGTTAAAATTATTTTATTACTACCACTAATAGTGATTACAATATTCCCTTTTATTTCTAGGAATTCAGTAATTTAAAAATGCTTTCACATTTATTAGTTTATCAATAGCAACAAAAGCTAATTTAAAAGGAGTCTTAATTTCAAGATCTTCTGATATTAAAAAACAAAAACAAAAAACTGGTTGTTAAGACATGTGGGCATTGTCACCTATGTTGCTGAAAACACTGTTCTTAGGAAACCAGGCAGCCTTGTTTGATGTTTACTTCAGCAACTCCAGAATGAATATAAATGGCTGTCTGATACATGAATGTGAATGTGAAAATCTGGAACCAATCCTATTTTACAGAACACAAGACTTCAGCATTTGGGGCACCTAATTATTGCGATGATAGGTGAGCTTTAGCCTTGATCACACGGCTTACAGCTAGAAATCTGTTTCATAGGAGATATTTCACGGCATGCAATGAATCTTAAAAACCATGCCATAAACATGCAAACACATGGTTTCAGTTAAATAGCAGATTCAAAACAAGCTTCATTCCTTTAAAACATAATTTGTATAAAAAACAATGTAAGACATTCGACACAGAATTTTTGATGTGCATGGCTGCAGAATTTTACTTTTTTCCTCCTTTAAAGAACTACCACGTTAAAAAAAAAAAAAGGGATTGAACGATTTTACTCTCTTCAGGGATTAATCTAAAATTGTTTCCTTTCATTGTCACTTAAATTACAGTCATTCTTAAAACTACCCCACATTTTTCCTTCATTTGGGAATAAAGCTTAAATTTGGACCTGTACAAATAATATTACATTCGTTCTACTATTGAAGGCTGGTTCCAAATTATAAATAGCTTTTCTAGACCAGAACCCTTGATATTCAGTCTTGCTTTATTGCTTTTGATATTAAGACTTTCTACAACTGTTTCAAGGCAAAAACGGTTCTGCTAATTATTACATATCTGGAAAAAAAATCCAAGTTTAAGCTAAAATGATGTCTGTAGAAAGTTTCTGCTTTTTGCATATGGTCATAGTAGGATTTTAAGGGCCAATGCTCAGCCAATGACCCTGCCCAAGACAGTAAAAGAAATTCTTAAAAGCCACTCTACCTTCCTTCCTAACGGAAAGAAGGAACCTCTCTCCCTGAAAGATTTCATGAAAAACATGTAGGACAATACGTTTTAGAAGTTATTTCAAAAAGGATGAGTACTATTTTACCATTGAAGCAGGTCGACTGCTTGTAACAAGGCTTGATCCACCATAGTTTGAATTGAGGCTTCCAATTGGTGCATTATGGGATGGTCCCAATAAACTGTGTATATCACTGTGACCAGCAGGCAAACTGGTGGAAGGTCCCACGGCATGGTTCCGCAGCACATGGATAGCATCATCCAGTCTGTCCAAACGATCCTCCATTCGAGATTGCTGTAGGGATTGAAAAAAGACATGGAGGTTACTGATGTTATCTATTAAATTCATTAAACTGCTGTTTCCTACTTTGGGATATAGGGAAGACAGCAAGTGAATATGCAATATTAAGTAGCTTCAAAAGAAACTACCTGTACTACGAATCAACAATTAAAGAAAGGATATTTGTAGACTATGCTAAATTAACAAAGCCTCAGAAGCAAATCACTGCTTCATAAAACCTATTTACCAATCTAGCATGAGGTTATTTCTTTTAGCTTCTACAAAAGCTGAAGGCTACTCTACTGTGTCTGATACTCAATTATCATTGATAAAAAAGATAACCTGTACTTTAACACTGATCTTTGAAATGAGGGCAATTTGGGGGAGGGTCTTCAAATCCATCAAATTTAAGTTGTAATTTTGTTTTAAGTGAATATTTATAATACCTATCTGAAATGGTGACCACATCCAAATGTGCTCTTTCACAAAACTGATGAAATGATATTATCTGTCTGTGAATATACACATGCCCCATACACAAACATATTAGAATTTAAGAAAATAAAAGCACATGCCAGTAGAGCTCTTTTAAAAAGAATCACACTCAACAAAAGCCTATTCTTACATATTGTTACAAAAACAAAAATAGTCACTGTTTGATTTTAAAAGACTCTGGAGTCTGTACAGCCTTGATGATTTTAAACGGATAATAGGAAGTATAATTAATTGAAACACAAAAAAGGCACCATCTAAAAGAAATAGTACCTCACAGACATCCTTTAAGAAGGACATTGCATCTTGCAAATGCTCGTGAAGTTGCTGCTCAACTCGATTTTTCTGGCAAAGTCAAGACAGAACAGGAGGCAAAGCACAGGTTAAGATTAACTCCAAAAGAGATGAGGAAATAGCTGATGTGCATGTCAGCATAACATGTTAGTAAAGTTAACGCGGAGACCTGCAAGATCTACTTGTATTAAGGTATGAGAAGGCTGGGATTTAACAGCAAAGTTATAAGGTTAGCATCTAAATAGCACACATTGCTTATATTTGCTTATATGTGAGAAGAAAACTTTCCTTTAATTTAAAATGTTCTGTTAGTCACAGAAAAAGAACTTTTCTATTTGCAACCTGGAATTACTGAATGATAGCATGACTTAACATTCTATTAAGTCATCCTTATTTTGTTTTTATGCTTTATTTTGTTTATTATGTAATTCTGTGGTAAGCATACAAAGGCAACAGTAGTTAACACCCTACCACAAATTCTTCACTCTCAATACCTAGACAGGCTCCTTTATTCTACTGCTTTGTTTGTCAATGGTTTTGCTTGTACAATTTACATAATACATTCTTTTTTAAAAAAGAAAACATGGGAAAAAATACTCTTCCTGACAAAAATAATTGATGCTACATTTAAAAATTTTAACAGAAATGTAATAAAGTATACACAATATCATCACATGAGAAAGAGTAAAATACAACCATTTTGCAATGCTGGACTAATTTTCTCTTACTTGGTCTGTGTTTTTTTTTTTCTTCTTTAAATTTCCTTTACATGTAAACATAAAATTATAGTAAAATTAAACCCTAGATCTGTCAAAGAAACAAAAATCCCATAACACTGTTTTAATACCAGCTGTCCTGAGACCAGAAGCCTGATGTCCCAAAGAACAGATGGCAAAAGGCACACCCAATGTGTCTTATATAGTTCAACTAAATCAGGCCATTTGTTAGCAGAGAATTCGTGTGTAATGCTATCCTACTGTTTTTTCATTGTTACTCAAGATTTTCTGGGAAAAAAAAAAAAAAAAAAAAGAACTCCACACTATTAGATAAAAGAGACCTTGTATGTTTCTCAGAGGCTCTTACCAGGGAGTGGAGTGAGTTTTCATAGCTTGGGGATGAAGGCGCTTGCCCTCCAGGTCTGGGCCACTGACTGGTACCTGTTAAAACAAAACCCAAAAGCACCCACACACCTTGGTTAACTCAGTGATCTTGAAAATGTTCTAAAGGAAAGGGTAAAGATATATTGTAAGTGTGCATAAATTTATGTGAAAATTTTTGTTGTCTTCAGCATGTTACTGGCTACTGATAAACCCAACACATTAAAATTTTTTTTTCATTATTAATATAACTGTGTAGGGAGTTGAGAAAAAAACTATACTTTGAAACATAACTACATTTATGTTTGCATGTTCTTCACACTCTGTCCAAATGCACACATATTTTGAGAAAATGTACTTAAAATATGCATAATTTAAAATTCTGTCCCTCCCCCATATTTTTAGTCTTTATGATCATGCTATTAATGACTTACATTAATATTCACCTGATTCTCTATATCATAATTTGCTTAACCACCGTTACCTCAGTGCTAGACGTTTTGGTTGCTTTCATTTGGCTATTATGAATAGTAACTGAATATCACTATATTATGAACGTTAATACTGTGTTTTTTCTTTTGGGGAATATGTCTAAGGATAAATAGCATTTCTAAGTTAAAAGGTATGAACATATTTATGATCCTTAATTCATAAGGCCAAAACTGCTTTCTAAAGGGTCACGTTAACTTGTGCCTCCAGTAATGCACAAATGCACCAATTTCAAATGATTGCAAATACATTTAGGATTATCTGCTAAAAATTTTCCCAACATAATTTACACCAAAACATATTATTTAATTTGGAAAATATCATCATGAAAATTTTGTTAAATGTTGTTTACTCTTCAACTTTAGGAAAGTGGCAATATAATAAAAAAAAGGAGACAGAAAAAGCAAGGATACAAGTTCAGAACAGAAAGAATAAAAAGGAAAAAAAAAACAAGAAAAAATAAAAGGGTTAATTCATTCATGTATTGGGGAGAATGCAGTGTTTTAAAACAGCTTCAGGGACTTCCCTAGCGGTCCAGTGGGTAAGACTCCACGCTCCCAATGCAGGGAACTATATCCCACATGCATGCTGCAACTAAGAGTTCACATGCCTAAACTAAGAGTCTGCATACCGCAACTAAAGATCCCACGTGCCACAACTAAGACCTGGCACAGCCAAAATAAATAAATAAAATAAATGATAAATATTAAAAAAAATAAAATAGCTTTAAATAGCTTTAAAATAACCAAAATAGCTTTAAAAAGAAAAAGACAAATGATTGAAAATCTTTACTATTTCATGACTGTGCATTTGAAAGTAAGTTATGTATAGAAAATAATGAAGACCGTTCAATTAAATATATGGTTTTGTTCTTAACAAATCCTCAGTGACAAACTGAATTATCAATATAGTAGAAATCTGAAGTTGGAGAAGGTTTACTTAATGTGTCTTGTTTATTGCTAAATGAAATTTTAAACTATGTTCCACCAGAGCTTGTTGTTGCAGGTTAATTTGCCATATTTAGGAAACTAAAAACTTACGGTAAATTGGAACTATTATAGTTCACTTTAGCTGAGTAACCTAGTAATTGTAGGAATAATTGTATTCCTAGTAACTGTACAAAAAATAGGCACTCACAGTTTTTTGTTTTTGTTTTTATTCTGCTTTTATGAAGCGAATGAGGTAAAAGCTATGAATGCACTCACTCTGTGAACCTAAAGGTCTTTTTTTTTTTTTTGGGCGGTACGCGGGCCTCTCACTGTTGTGGCCTCTCCCGTTGAGGAGCACGGGCTCTGGATGCGCAGGCTCAGAGGCCACGGCTCACGGGCCCAGCCGCTCCGCAGCATGTGGGATCTTCCCGGACCGGGGCACGAACCCGTGTTCCCTGCATCAGCAGACGGACTCTCAACCACTGCGCCACCAGGGAAGCCCCTAAAGGTCTTTTTGACCATGAGATATTATTATTATTTCTTCCTGATGATAGATCTATCATGTAATCAATGAAGAAAAAAGATACATAGACTTTTGTAATTCTGGCCCACTGACGGCTTATTAGCTATGGATGAGAACTTTGGGGTTGTGAATGGAATTCAAATTCTAGACAGAGACCATAATGCTATAGAATACCTCTGACACTAGACAGATCTGCATCCTTGTCTTTTTATAAAACTAGTACATGAGTAAAATATACAGATTTATTTAGAATCATACTGGTATCTTTATCTCTAGCTTGTAATCACCAACTGCAGCATTATTACACAAATAAGGAAAAACAAAAGTACAAACGCTAAAAACCTAAGGGGTTTCCCAGAGAATAGGTTATTTGCCCCCTTCCTTCCCTGTTACCTGCTATCTGGTGGTAGACATGCACAGGGGTTTTGGGCTTATACTACTTCCTTCTGTTAGATAAGGGCAAGCTTTCAACTCTTTATATAGTTAACAATTTTTGTAATTGCCCTGAGCTTTTTAGTGACCACCCCCAAAAGCTAGCTGTTATTCAAGGATTATAATAAATTTACTTGATATCAAAATTTATTGACTATTTCCAGAGAACACGTTAGCTGACAAGAGAATCAAATTATTTGGCTAGAAAATCTGGAAAGGCTTTCTTTGATCACTAAATCAAAAATTCACCCAGTGTTTCTGATCTGTCCTCACTCTGAGTGGGATTCAGTAATATGCCACCTAATAAAACTGGTTAATAAATTTAGAGAATAGATAACATCATTTTGCATGGCTGAGAGAAATTCTTAGGACTATTTATCATGCATTTTCTTATTTTGTTAGCTGTTTCCCTTTGTAATCTCACCCTAAACTCAAACTTTCATGAGATACTCCACACTTGGAAAAGGTTGAATAATCCTAAATGTAGCACTGAATGCTTTGCTTTCCACAATCTGGCCCCAGCCAATCTTTCCACTTCCAATATGTGAAAAGAGTTCATAAACAGTCATCTCAATGACTCTGGATGAACAGGTCATGCACTTTCTTACATCTTGATCTTTGTCACATTCTCTTCTTTTATACTCAAAGTTCTTTCTCCTTTATACTCTCTTCATGAAGTACATCCGAAGAACTGTAGTTTAGAGTAAATTCTGACGGTTCTATTTTCATGTGTTTATCTCTGTTTTCTCAACTAAATTGAAAACTTGCTGAAGTCAGGTAACTGCTTTAACACCAGGCATACAGACAGATGATAAAAATAAATATCTCACTGATGAAATGAGCCTAAACTGAGGAATCCTTTCTCCCCTATCTCCCCCCACTCCCTCTTTATTTTTATTGTGGATGTTCTGAAGATTGCTATTGAGTACTGCAATTATTAAACTTTTATTCACTGATATTCTAGAAGGATGTAAAGAAAGGTGAAAAGTGGTTTTGTTTGTCTGCTTTCCAAGTTCCCTTAGTAAACACATTCTTTTTTTTTTCTTTTTCACATCTTTATTGGAGTATAAATGCTTTACAATATTGTGATTAAACACATTCTCTTAACTCAAATACTCATGTCTTTTCTCAAAGGACAAATGTATTAGACACAGCCATACTTCTACCTTGCTGCTAGAGCCCAAATTTTGCTCAGAAGGTGGGGGAGGGTGTCCATCCTTTCCTACTATGAACCAAGAAAGAGTAATTCTATTCTTAGCTCTTGGGAGAAATCCTAATGACTAAGACAAACATGGTGGTCCCATTTCTGTTGAGTAACTCTGTTAAACCCAGTTCTGGTCAATGAATCATGAGGGAAAATCTGTTGAAGAGGCTTCTGGAAAAAGATTCTTAAAAGACATATAATAGATGATCCTTTTTCTTACATGAGACATGGTTATGTCCATATGTGGTACCTTCAACTGCTGTCTTGCCACCAGCCTAAGAAAGAATTGCAAAGAAATAGAGCAGGAGCCCTGACTGGTCCAGGAACTTGCCCTGCTATGGGCTTTATACAAGATATCCAAAATCCCCTTATTATTTAATCCAGTCCAGACAAGAGTTTCTCTTTCTTTCAGCCTAAAGTATCCTAACTAAAACAATATCATCATCTCAGAAGCTTCTTTCTTGTAAGCATTTTCTATGCAGGAACGTTATGTTCTTAGTCTGAAAAGTTCCCAAGGAAAATAAGCAGGATTTAAAATAGAACGATGAATGCCTTAGAAACTGCCTATGTTGCTTTGCACCTGTGCAACTATTCTTACAAGGTCTGTCCTGAGTCTGACTGATGCTCAGACATAAGGAAGAGGGCAAGTGTAGAGCGCACATAGCGGGTAGGAATTTTTACTCTAGATGATAGGCTCCTGTCACACAAGGTACAAAATAATTTGTACATATTATATAGGAGCTCTGGTTTGCTCTATCTTTTTCATTTTTCCTTCAACTGTGAATACTTTATCGCCCATTGCTTTCCTTTTTTCCTCCTCCCTTTCCATGTCTGCTCTGCCAGCCTGGGGTGTGTGTGTATGTGGGGGTGGTTATAAGAAGAAAACACTAGATACAGGAGATGAGAGACAGAGATGCACCTGTATAAAATCAGTCTTTGATGCCATTTCAACAGGAGTATATGAAAATATTTTTCTTTGAGTATGACTGCAGAACTGTAAAAAGAAGCCTATTAATACCTTCATTACACAATTTAACATTTCACAGATCTTCACTAATCAGCTGAATTAAAGGTGGAAAGAGGATATCATCCACTAAACATCAAATAAAAATGGAGAAGGGAAGGGTAAGCTGGGACAAAGTGAGAGAGTGGCACTGACATATATACACTACCAAATGTAAAACCGATAGCTAATGGGAAGCAGCCGCATTGCATAGGGAGATCAGCTCGGTGCTTTGTGACCACCTAGAGGGGTGGGATAGGGAGGGTGGGAGGGAGACACAAGAGGGAGGGGATATGGGGATATATGTATATGTACAGCTGATTCACTTCGTTATAGAGCAGAAACTAACACATCATTGTAAAGCAATTATGCTTAAATAAAGATGTTAAAAAAATAAATAAAAAAATAAAAAAACAAATTCAAAAAAAAAAAAGGAGGAGGAAAAGTGAGATTTTACTTTGGACCATTATTTTTTGAAAAACGCCTAAGTTTCTGATTCTTCATTTTACTGATGTCTCTGCATAGATGCTGAGCTCCTCTGCTGCCTGCCTTCCCAACCAGTGTTAATGGAAACCAAAGGACACTTTTATCTTACTGGGCTGGGCAGAGAAGAGGCAGTGGGAACATACAGTAAGGGCCAATATAGCTACCTGAGATGAGAAAGTGAAACAAGCTGTGGCAAAAATGACACTGATAATTTTAGTAAAACTCTGCCAAGAGGGTGAGTATGGTTAAAGTTACATCATTCTTCCTGTAATTTCATCCCTCTGTTAAACAACAACTTTAAGTCAATGGGTCTTTCATAGTCCTGTCTATGTGGGGAACAGCTGTTCAACTTTTACTAGACAGCTGAAGCCATGGTGTCTGAGAAAGTGGCAGAACCCACTAATAGCTGAAAGCAGCTGCCAGCAGTTCATCATTTCCACATTGGAATGCTTCTTAGCAGAGTCACAAGGCTAAATCACAGAGCACAGGTGATAGCCAGGGCCCTGATACACCAGAGCCTTGATTTTCAGAAACCCTGAACAATGCAAAAAGGCTTCACAGCAACAACAACAAGGCCACATGGACTGAACTAGTGACTTTGATCAGGAATAGAGAATCATTTCTGAGGTCAACTGTTGGAGGAAAATGGCAATTTTTACACAGTTGTCTATTGTCTTTTCCTTAGAACTAATACATTTCTTCTTTAGCATGGTTTTTCTCCAAACACTGCTCAAGAAACACATTCCAAGTTTTATAGCTTAACAGATCAGATCCAAGCATCTTCTTGTAATTTGATTTATTCCTAATAAATCAAAAAATTCCTATTTACAATAATAACAGTTGTATCTCAACAAATTTATACTGTAGGATAGTATCTGGAACTTGTTAAAACTACTGTAAAGAAAAACAGGAAAAAAGCAATGCAAATCTGAACACTTATTTAACTCCACTAACAATATTCATACACATTCACAAAGAGTTCTTTTCTTTTTTTTTTTTTTTTTTTTTTTTCC